GGGGAACGAAGGCCGCCAGGTTCAGTCGCCTCAGCGGACTGCTGGTCCTGGGACGACATGCAGCAGCATCGCAAAAGGACTAGTTGGCAGCGAAAAGCGCACAAACTGGCGGCCTTCGTTCCCCTACCCATTTTTCGTTTTCGAACTTATTCGATATTCGTTTCGATGAAAAATTTTGAATTTCCCCAAGTATAATACAGAGCCAGAAAAATCGTGTCCTCAAAACCAAAATCATAAAAGAGGTAACTTGTAAAAATTTTGTAAGATTTTAGAACAAAATGGCAGGAGTGCTGTATGTAAGCTTTCAACTTTTACTCTTCAGTGGAACATTGTATCTTTCATATTACAGATTCACAGTCCTAGCTTGTGTAAAATTGGAGCTAGCAAAGTTATTTAGCTACCGATGTGTACGCGTCTTTTGCAATCAAATATAGTTACAACATCTTCAGAAAAAACGCCGGTCTACGAGCGATTGTATCTTAGTCCAGAAGAGACAGTGTTTCTTTCCATTGATTCAAATGTGCTCGAAGTCTCAGAAAGCAAACGAATTCTTACACCTGGTATGTATCTAGCAAGCAATGGTTACATAGTAAAAAGTAAGGTTCAGATGAGTTATGGTTACGAATGAAAGAACTTGGAGGGTCAAATTTCCTGAAGAGGTATGCTGTATATCGATATCTACGTCGCTGTGGTTGGTGCGTACGGAGCGGTTTGCCCTATGGATGCCAATATTGTGAATATGCAGAAATTTTTTTGCATTACTTCATTCTTAGTCTGTAGTGATTTACCGCGGAAGTCCTGGCTCTCACCATGCGGCTGCCGGCGTCAAAATAGAGACACAAATAGAGCCGAGGTTCTTTATTGGATTGAATCGTGCGCTTACAAATATGAAGAAGGTGGATGCAGAATGCCTGAATTATTTGTGAAGCAAAGTTCATATCGTTTTAGGCTCTCGTTATAGTGACACCCATAATTCCTGATGGACTCAACACTTCCACGCAGAGATGCGTGGATTCTGTGCATATTTCGGTAGGTGGCTTTTCCTCCAAGAAGTAGAGGAAAATACCAATCATAACATCAAAGTCAAATCAGCTGTATATTTACCTTAAAAGGACCTTACCTTTAAAGGATCTATTGAAGCATGCTACCTAGATAATCTATATAAGAACTTCACCATAATCAGTAGTTTATTGCAGATGTC